GCATAAAATGAGACTAGGCCAGTGAGATTTGTGTTTTTGAAAGCTAGGCTGGTTGTATGTGACCCAGGACCTTTTAAGCCTGGGACTTTAGCACCAAAATAATTAGTTTATTTTCACCATTGCTCCACCCTCGCTTCTCCTGTAAACCTTGAGCACTCTCTGAAGTCGGGCGGCGAATGAGACCAGGTGGAAAGTGAAGTCTGTAGACATCCAGAGGAGTAGGAATAATGATGACAGTAACAAGCTAACAAGGTCTAAGCCCTTTACACATATCGTTTAATCCTCACAACATTCCTGAGATAGAGACTATTATCATTTCCTTTTTCAGATAAGGAATCTGAGTTTGAGAAGTGAAATAACTTACCCAAGCTTACTCAGTTAATTTGTGACAGAGGAAGAACCTGGGCCATGCAGTCTGGCTCCAGAGCATGGCTATTCTGCTACAGGGTAGAGGGTCCCCTGGCTTGGTTGAGCCTAGGAGTTGGGAGGAGGAGGTCAATTCTTAGCACCAATCATGATGCTTGAAGGCTGATTGAAGAGAAGCTCCCATCCTTTCTAGAACATTGGCAAGGGTTTGAGAAGTCTCTGACTTCCAAAGTCATCATTTCCCCTCTTTACAATCGGACACTGACTGGCTCCTTTCCAGTCTTCAGGCACCTCATCTATCTACCCATTGCTCTAAAAAACAACTGTTTAATGGCTCTCCAGTAACTCCAGCCAACTCCTTAAGGGCTCTTGAGAGCAGATCATCTGGAACAGCTAGCTGAACTCATCCAACTTTTTACAGTGATCTTTGATCAGTTCTTTCCTTGCCCCCACCACCCATGTGATCTAAATTGGTTGATCTGCTTCACTTCACACTCACAGAACTCTCTCAACCAACAGCACACCTTAAAAGCAAACCAGGTCTAGATACGGAGTTCACAAGGTGAGAGGGAGGAGAAGGGATGTCTGAAGCCAAAAGATTCTGACACACAGTTCCTCAGACCAGAATTCCTTTCTTACATTCAGCTCATGATTAGTGACTTCACCTGGTTGCCATGGAAACATCAGTCTCTGGTGGATGACAAGCAGTACTTTATAGACAGAAAGCATCACAGGCTACCATGGTAACACCAAAAGAGTAAAGCTGCATCCTCTCTCTTGGAGGAGTGAGGAAGAAATGGATAAGGCTGCTGGGGGAAAGCAGGCTAGAAGAGACAGGCTTTGGGAAGTCTGGCTCTGGCTTTTACAGAGAAGGGAATTAATTCAACGGACATTTAATATGAGTAAGGCGATGTAACAGTGAAAAAGACATGCTCTACGGCTGGCCTCATCAGGCTACCTAGTAATAGAGTTTGCAAAGACGTGTAAATAAAGACAGAATAAGACCAATATAGGACCAACAACCCTGAAAAGGGAGATTAACTCTAACTGGGAAAGCTTCAGGATCTTAAAGGATCAGATTCTGACTGGCAGAAGTAGGAAAGGAAGAGAGAACAGGATAAGCAAAGACATGAAGTGAAAACGTTTAGGGTATACTGAGAACTGAATACACACAGGAAGTAATAACTTCTCCACTCACTTCCAGACCTTGGCTTCCACAGTAGTGCTGAGACACGTAAGGTTAAGATCAAAGGATCTGAAGCCAGACTGCCTGGACTGGAATCCAAAGCTTGCTGTGTGACTGCAGGCAAGTTATTTAACCTCTTTGGGTATCAGTTTCCTCACATACAACCTGAAGATAATAAAAGAATCTACCTGAGGATTGTTGTGAGAATTAAATGATTTAATACATATAAAGTCATTAGAACAATGCATTTTTGTTGTGTGCCGAGTAGATTCTGACTCACAGCAACCCTACAGAACAGAGTAGGACTGCCCCATAGGGTTTCCTAAGCTGTCATCTTTATGGGAGCAGATAGCCAGGTTTTTTCTCCTACAGAGTCGCTGGTGAGTTCGATCCACCGAACTTGCTTTCAGTTAGCAGCTGAGAGCTTAACCATTGTGCCACCAGGGCTCCTGCCTAACTCACAAAAATCCTGCATATATGTTAACAATTATCATTATGTCACCTCCTCACTTTCCAGAGCCAGGATAGCCTCTTTTCACTGCTCTAGTCTTATGACTCCATGATTCTCATCAGACCCTTTCCTTAACAGCGAAAAGGGGCGGACTATGATATTTCTCCCTTCAAGTTTTTACTTATTTCCCTTCATAAGCACCAGGACTAAAGGTTCACACGTCAAGCCACTGTTTTCTCTGGTAGCTCACCTACAGGGGTTGTTGGTGCCTAGGAAGAAAGTAGGCAGAATCCCATGCCAAGGATATAGCAGTTTGAAGAACAGGGAGGAAATGTCATCGCTGCCCTGAAGATAGAAGCATATATGTCTATAAGCTAAGTCAGGTGAAAATCCCATTTAGAAATGAGAGCTGGTGAGGAAATTCTATGTCAGTTTAAGGATCTGGGCCAGTCTCACCTGCACCCCACCCCAGTTGTCATGCTCAGGTAGGAGAGGTGGAGGGAGGCTTCCCTTACCTTGTGCTGGGCCCACAGACTGCCTGCTGCCCCCTTCTCTCCATTCCAACCACCCCCTATAGGAGGATGAGTAACAAGAAAGCACTGAGTCACACAATGACACTGGCTGTCACTCACTAGATACTGTCACCTTATATGGGTTAAGACTAAAGCAGAAGTTGTCTCTGATGTTTCTTCACTTACACCACTGTCTCTCTCCCAGCAAGAGGCTCTAAGAACAGGGAACAAGGAAGAACTAAGGTGGAAGGTAAGGGCTAAAATGCAGAAAGGCAAAAGTTAGGGATGGGAACATAAGGAAAACAAGCTGAGACTGAGGTTCATCTAGGAGGAAGGCAGAAGGCCAGGCCTGTGGGTAGTGATAATAGTTTAGGAGTCCAAGCCAGCCACGAGACCTGGTCCATGGCCTCAGGATAACAAACAAGGATGGTCCCCACTGCAGAGTCTTGGGATGCATTAGCAGCCAGATCAGTAACTGTAGGGGACTGGGCCACCGCCAGAAGCTCCTATCTAAAACTAGTGCATCTTCCTTCCCTTCCCCCAGGTCCAAAGAGCAAGCTAGGATAGGAAAGAACTGGAAGGGGTGGGGTGCAGTGAAAGGAACAGAAGCAGCAGGTGACAGCAGTGGCCTAGAGGAATCAGAGCTAGTCCTAGGTCCCAGCGGCCTTTTATGCCACAAGCCAGCCTCAAGTACTTAACGGTTTGGTGTTAAAGGCAACCCTAGAGGCTAACATGACCACAAAGCCAACAAAGCACTTACACGTTTGAGAGCTGACAAAGAAAACCTAACAGCAATTATCCATATTTTCAGCATGATAATAAAAGTATTAAATTCTGTTGCCATAGAGATCAGTAAAGAATGGAGGACCCCACAGAGCCCTGCTCCTGGGCCTCTGGTCTTTCTGGTTGCCTGTGCTGGTGAACAAGGCTCTTCCCAGGTTATAGTCTCTCAAAGCAGGGAGAGGAAGGTGAACCTTCCCTTCAAAGAGCTGTTCCTGGAACACTCAGCTCCCTGAGTTCACTGCCCCAAGCCTGTGCTGTCCCAGGCTGAGACATATGGAAAGCAAGAGTTGAGGGGACTGACCTAGGCACAACAGTAGACATCAGGTCAGGGGAGCCTGGATGAGAAAATGCCCAAACCCCTTTGGATACTGGGCTGGGAGGTCTACAACAAAGAGGATCAAAGGCAGGTACAGAGGCCAAGAGGGTCTAAGAATGGTGAGCTTAGGAGGCTTCTCTGGAATTTCAGCTCCTGGAGATCATGAAACACCCCTAGAGAAAGGTACAGAATGTGCTACTGTCACACTGCCATCTGGTGGAAAGACAGAGACGGAGCCTGGAAGTCTGCGCATTGGGCAGGGAGTGTGGGGCACAAACGGTTGGGGAACCCTGTTGGAGCATGAGTCTTCCGGCCATTTTTACTTTTTTCTAAGTGAAAGTTTAAACGAAACAAAATAAAAAGAAAGAAAACACAATGGCATTACAAATGTTTTATATCCCCAGAACCATTCGTGGTTTTGGCTCATGAGAAGTTAAAATCAGACAGACACATCAACTGACTGAGATCTCACACACATGGGCAGCAGCCACCGCAACAGGGGTGCTGACTTTTGTACAAAGTTTATATATATATATATATATATATATATACACACACACATACACTCTTATATACACAAACACAAGGGTATAAAATCCAGTAAGAAGGGCTCCCATGTGCCCAGGCAGGGGTCCGGAGTGGCTTTAATAGTCAGAGTTGAGCCCGCAGCAGAGGCACACATAAAGTGGTGCAGAGTAGCGGCCTCCCCTCCATCCTCCCACCCTGGGCCAAAAGGAGGACCTGGGAGGAAGGACAATTACACAAAGTGCAGGTTTCACAATGCACATGTCCATGTCATCCTCCAGGGCCTTTGTAGCAGCAAGCCAGCACCTTCAAGGTTCACCCCCCAAATTCCAAAGTCCTCTTGACCCCAGAGGTCCTAAGAGTTTTCTCTGACAGACTGTAGGGTAAAGGTGGAGGAAAAGGAAAGAAGTTAGTTTCCTCCATTGATACCCTGTGGCCTTCCCAATGGGGGAGGAATTGAGGAATCATTAAGAGGTGGGTGGAAAGGGCAATGAAGGTCATCCTAGGAAACGATAACACACGAAGACACGTATTCAATGCAGGTGTCAATTCTGCCCTCTTAGGCTGGGGGTGTTGCTCGGCAGAGACCATTCTCAGTGAAGCCATAGGCAGGAGCTCTTCTTGGTGTCCAACGGTAGTCCTAATCCCCCCAGAGTTAATGTCTATGCCTTCAGGATGGCTTGGTCCATATAATGGAGAGAAGGGGCTTTAGAAGGGCAGATGTGGAGTGGTGGGACCCAGAGGCCTAGGGAGGCAGTGTACCAGGCCACGAATTTACCTGTTGCAAAGAGGAGAGGAGAGGTAAACTTGAAGCCAAAGGCAAGAGAATACCCAAAGACTGAAAGGGCTGGGCCCTGAGACTCACATGGTCTGAGGGGAAAAGAGGCTGGAGAGATGGAAGCACTACAAGGCGACTGTCTGGGAGGCAAGGTTCAGGGCCGGACTCAGAGCAAAGGGAGGCAGAGACAGTGAGTGAGCACAGAGCTCTCCTTATTACCAGGCCCTGGCCCTTCTCTCTCTTTCCCAAGTCTGAGTCTACCAGTCAGAGCCGCTGGGTTCAGGGCCCCTAAGGGAACCACTCCATTCAGTTGCAGGGCAGCAGCTTGGGCAGCGGTGGCAGCAGCTATGGCCAGCAGCTGGATTCCAGAGCCTAAAAGGGGAAGAAACCCCCCGCCCCAAAAAAAACCAAACCCATTGCCATCGAGTTGATCCTGACTCATAGCAACACTATAGGGCAGAGGAGAACTGCTCCACAGGGTTTCCAAGGAGTGGCTGGTGGATTCAAACTGCCAACGTTTTGGTCAGCAGCCGTATCTCTTAATCACTGCACCACCAGGGCTTCAAAGCGGGAAAAAAAGGTGGGGTTAAGTTCCAATCCTTGATCTCAAATTCAACCCCATGCTCTTCGCCCTGCAGAGAAACTCTACTTTCTGCCAATTTGGCCATGAGCTGCAAACATCCACTTGCTGATCCCAGATCAAGCTCCTGGCCCCCATCAGGAAAAGTGATGTCGGTACCACCATCCAGCCATTCAGTCATGTGGCCAACCCTCATAGGTCGACCAGCAAGCTCAAAGCCATTTAATTGTTCCAGGGCCCGCCGGGCACACTCAGAGTCAGAGAACTACGAGAAACCCAGGCCTATTAGTCACCTCCTGGCCACAGACCCGCTCCCAAAGCCCCGCAAACAGTCCCTCTCTTTACTATCCCAGGAAAACTGCATGCTCACTGCGGCACAAACTTCAATTTCCCAGGGAATGTAACCTAAGATCTCATTCCCCGAAACAATTCTCTGAAAAAGACCTTTTCCAATGGACTCAACAGCAATCACTCTCCAATCTTCCAGCTCCACTAAGAATCTAACAATGCAAAAAGTCTATTATCTGGATGGAACTTAGGCTGACAGGCTGTTTGACAAAAGGGCACGTAAAATGGAAAATAAGGCTCCTGGGCTTTTATTCAGTCCTAGGACTTAGAAGTTTCAGTTCCTAGTCAAGAACTAGGAAGCTGGAACTCTAGAGCCCTGCCCTGGGAGGTAACATAGCCTGGTGTTGAGAGAAGAATGCACCTCCACCCCCAGCCCACATACACACCAGTGTTGCTGACTCAGTGACCTGCTCACCAGAGGCCTTCTACTCTCTAGTCCCTTCCAGGATGACAGCATCAGCAGCACATCTGGTATAAAGAGGATTCCAAGTCTGCTGTTTGTGCAAGTGTGAAGATTGTTGACCTAAAAGGCTCAACACAAGGGCAAAAAGGCCCCGCAGAAGACTTTCTGCATCTGAGTCACACAGAAGCTAGAAAAAGTACTGGCCACTATGGAATCCTCAACACCATAGCTGGCTACGTTTACTCTGACATTACCTGCCCTAGGGCCAAGCACATGGTACTGACAGATCCCAGGCAGGTGGTGTAGGTTGTCTGCCTCTACTGGATACTTCTGACGTGAGCAATTCTCATGATATGGCACAATCTACTTCCACTCTGCCCTCTGGGCAGTTGTGGGGGTATCTGATGCCTGGATTGAGCCCAGAAAATATCAGCTTCTATCAAACTTTGTGGCTGGCAGCCAGTCCTCATCACCCTGGAGTCACATGGGCATGGAAGAATCAGTTACAGGAATTGGAAACCATTTTGCTAGAGTGTCACTGTCAGGGGGCCTCACTATTCTCCCCATAGTGCTATTTAAATGTAAAGATCCTCCTCAATGAAGAAACTGCTTCAAAAGGAGTAGCACCAGAGGGAAGTGTAACTTTTTATTCCCACCTTTATCATGAAAACAGTTCACCAGTTCTATAAAACATGTCTTTCAAAGCCCACACCTAACTTCCCTCATGCTCCCAACCTCTTTTAGCTGCAACCTGGAATCATTACTATTACCCAAAGAGCAAGTTGTAGCACCAGTGAAGCTGGCTGAACTCCTGGACACCCCCAGAACAGGGCCACTGACAGAGTGTAGGAAGAAAGCCAAGATCTCAAGCAATGTGCTCATCTCAAGGGGCAGAAAGCTAGTCCAAGCTTCAGGCACCAGTGTTTATGGGTCATTTAGACAGTTCCTAAAGAAGAATGAAGCTAAGCTGCAAAAATCAGACAAGTGGACAAACCCAAACTAAAATAAAAAACCAGAAGACTACAGACTCACCATAATGAAACCATAACCTCTGGAGCGGCCTGTATCTGAGTCCTTCATCAGGACAATATTATCGATCTGTAGAATATGAAGGAATGATTAGTCACCTTTTTGGCTAGCCCGTGCCTTTGATCATTCCTACCTAGACTATTCTAAACACCTCTAACTTGCTAGCCAACAAATTACATCTCTCCAATGTTCTTTCAAAAAGAGGTGAAGGAGGCCACCTCTTCCAAAACACATTTTCTGACTAATCTTACTCAGTCTGGACCCCATTATTTGATTTCATTATGTGTCTCACTCCTTTGCCTACTGAGTAGCATGAATACAGAGATGGAGCCTAACTTTCACAGTATGGACTGTTACATGTGCAACCTGTGGGATAATCATGGCCAGAGAAAAGCGAGAGGTACAGTCACCCACCCCACTTTTTCCAACTCCCTTTTAAGGATTCCTTCACTTTCTACTCACTTTGCCAAAGGGCTCAAAGATACCCCGGAGCATGTCCTCGGTGATGTTGAAGTGCCTGGAGCCCATATAGAGGTGCACTGGCCCACCACTGCCTTTCTGCACGTTGTTGGCCATGGCTGCCAATAGGATTTTCTCGGCCTGGAGAAGGAGGAAATGATGGGTCATGTCCCACACCCTCACCTCCAATCCCATTTTCTGTACGTCAGCTCCTCAGCCCACTCACCTGTGAGGCCTGCACAATGATAGGTACTCCCAGCAGCCGCTGCCCGGTCAGCCCAATGGCCAGCAGCACAGACTGAATTTCACAGAATTCCACATAGGCAATGCCCTTAGAACGACGTGAGTTCCGATCTGAGATGATACGTACATCACGAACCTATCCAGGGCAAAAACGAAATCTTGAGGTGGGCATAAAAGGCGATAGAAAATAGGTGACTCATAAGAGATGAAAACTAAGGAAGGGAAGGGGGTTACCTTGCCGACAGCAGAGAAAAAGGCCTCCAAGTCCCGAGGCTGAATGTGGGCAGCCAACTGCATACAAAAAACTGTGCGGGCATCATGTTCCTCAGGACTCAGATTATCAACAGGCTCCCTACAGAGCAAGCAGAATTAGAGACTACTCTTCTCAGTATTTGGTCATCGTTCTCCAACTAACCTTCAAATATTATACGTTCCTGCAGTTTTGCTTAAACCTTTTCTTCGTACGTTACAATTCCTAAAAAAGCAGTCATCTAAACTTACCTGACTGGGCTTTTCTCTCTGAAATGAGAACTGTTACTCTGTCCATACCTACACCTAAGGAATAGAGAAAAACAAAACTAAAAATCATGTCACCAAATCTTATTCACACTGGTCCAACGCTGGGTCTTCCATCATGAGAAAACCAGATTCCAGAACCTCATCTCACGTGTCGATTCTTAGCACCACTCCTCCAGTAACTGGGTATCCTGTCTATCACAATCAAGTCCACAGAGTATCCAGGATTCCCTGGGCGTGCAAACGGTTAAGGCACTTGGCTGCTAACCAAAAGGCTGGCAGTTCGAGTCCACCCAGAGGCGCCTTGGAAAAGAAGCCTGGTGATTTTCCAAAAAATAAGCCACTGAAAACCCTATGGAGCACAGTTTACTCTGACACACATGGGGTCGCCATGTGTTGGAGCAGACTTGATGGCAACTGGTTTATAGTACACTTGGTGTTTTACCCAGATAGTGATACAAAGGTGATCTTATTAGCAAAAAGTGATACCCAGTGGCAAGTGGCAGACTCCTGTAGCGCACACGATCCTCACGACGCTGGTCCGGACTTCTTGACTGACTACTACGTCGACGATCCCAGCTACGACCGCGATGATGATGCTGCCGATCCCAACTTCAGCTCTGTTTCTCCGTCTATGTTGATCCCGGTCTCGACTATGACTACAGGTGGAAATGACTTTAAGTTTGTTAAAGAACAAACAAATCTGTCTTGGCCTTTAATACAGAGCTTTCCCTGGTTACTTTTCCATTTATAGTAATTCCCAAAACCCAACAGCCCAAGAATTACTGACCTGCGCTTTCTATCCCTGCTTCTACTATGGCTCCGACTCCTCTTCTTCCTGTGAAAGACAGTGTAAATTCTTACTTCTGAGTAGCTTTCATGATCTCTCCCAAGGAAAAGGAATGACAGTAAGACCAGGATGAAACAGAAGGCAGTAAAACACCAAAGTCCAGAAGATGATCTGGCAGTAGTTCACAGCAACTGCACAACAGCAACTTATACAGACCTGAATGCTGTCAGGCATCTGAAGCAGCCATTTTACCCCCAAAATCAAGCAAAAGCTGGTGTTTCCAAATCAGAGGTCCTCTTGCTATTTTATTCAAATGAAATATACCAATGCTAGAACTGATCCAAAAATCTACATTGGAAAGTGAAGACTAGAAATTCATTAAACCAGGTCACCATTATTCCCACAACCCAGTGGAGCCATTACTAAAAGCCAGCAATCTTCAGAGCAACCACCTCCCTGTTCTGGCTGTCTCTTCAATGGATGCAGATATTTCCTTTCCCTAAGTCGCCAACCCATTTCTTTACCCCACACTCACTTGCTTGTCTCCCCACTGGTGCTGCTCGCACTAGTCCTATTGCCATTGTTGCTGCTGGTGTTGGTGGTGGTATTGCTACGGCTGTCCTTTTTAACCTCTTTCCTTTGCTGCTCATCCTGAGGGGTTCGCCAGGAAATTGTCACAAGGCACAAGGTGGCAGACACACAGATTCCACTGGGCAAAGAACAAAGGTGAACAGGAAAGAAAGCCTGTGAAATCAAAGCTCTCAATTAACTAGCCAGTTTTTAAGGACTTGCATCTTCTAACGGGGGGAGTAAGGGGAAGCAAGCAAACTGCCCAAAAGGAAGAGATCAGAATGACAATGGCATTTATTTCCCAGGAGAGTGAGAAATCAGAGCTAGGTCTGAGGTACACTGACTTTCCACCGTGTCACTGACAGTTATGAACAAAGCACTTGTTCCTACCACATTATGCTCCCAACCCAGGTTTTGGGGCCTTTTCTAAAAGCATGACCCAAGAGTATGGGGCCCCAGCACAGTTAACTAGAAGCCCACACCCTTTATGAATAGCCATATGTAATAAATAAGCAGGGAAAGAGAAATCATAAAATGCTTAAGTGAAAAGCCAAAAAACCCATTGCCATCGAGTCGATTCCAACTCATAGCGACCCTACAGAACAGAGTAGAACTGCCCCATAGGGCTTCCAAGGCTGAAGTCTTTATGGAAGCAGACTGCCACATCTTTCTCCTGCAGAGAGGCTGGTTAACCACTGTGTGCTTTACCACTGTGCCACCAGGACTCCTGCTGAAGTGAGGTGGGGGATAGTACCTCCTCTTTTTCATAGGAAGCCTCCAGCATGGCCTCAATCACTATATCAAAGTCATCAGACGCCATCGTGTTAGAATCTGAGGAGAGGACATCAACACATAAGTACCTCATTTACACTTTTTTTTCCCTTCCAGCAACCGGCATTCCCTTCCCCTTCCAAGGAACAGCCATGAGGATATACAGTTCTGTTTCTTGACTCCAAAGGGCTCTTGTCAGCTGTCGTTCACCTGAGACTTATTTTTGCGCCTTATAGATCTGAACTAGATGTGCTTTGTGACTGAGAAAAGATCAAGGGTCTTGAACGAAACTAAACACCTAGGTAGACAAAATATTAAAATACAGGCTCTGTCCTGTGAAGAGGAAATGTTGGTACTCAAAATTTCCATTCACTTTACAATGGGTTCTAGGCCTCCATTCTATTATTCAAAATTCTGAATAAACAACTGGTTTAAACTTAAATCATAAAAATAAGTACACATTTCCTATAAGAAGATAAAGATGCAAGAATAAAAATTAACAGCAAAACAAAGCAACACCAGAATGATGCAGATTTGCCCTAAGCTCTTTCCTACATACTCCAAACACCAATAATTTGGGCCTCATCACTAAGCATTTTCTGTCCAATACCAACTAGAGCTTAGGTAACTCAGAAATATTAAGATTAAGACAGGCTTAACCAATCCCATTTTGAAGTCCTTCTGTCTAGGCAGGCAGGGTAAGACTTCTCACCTCCCCAAGTATTCAAAAATGACTGATCTGGAATTACTGATACACGCAACAACATGAATGAATCTCAAAAATATGCTGAAAGAAACCAGATAAAAAAGCATACACTCTGTATGATTCCATCTATATAAAATTCTAGAAAATGCAAAGCAATCTATAGTGACAGAAAGCAGATACATGGTAGCCCAGGGACAGAGGCGGGTGGGGAGAGGTAGAGAGAGATTACAAAAGAGCACAAGGAAACTTTTGGGGGTGATTGATATGTTTGTTATCTTGATTGTGGTGATGGTTTCATGGATGTATACACATATGAAAACCTATCAAACTGTATACTTTAACGTGTACAGTTTATTGTATATCAGTTATACCTCCATGAAGTTATTAAAAATTGATCTGAGGACTTTCTATGCAAGGTGGCTAATCAAAATCAGACTTTCCACATCCACAAGAGTTTTGTCCTCTTCAAAGCAGCTAATGCATTATTCAATGATGTGTCCTGGTTGCTCCCCTAACCCATAGCCTATTTCGATGATTACTTTCTAAGACTAATAACACCTACCATTTATATTATCTTCTGTGTGCTAAGCATGTTACAGAGATATGATTCTTGGAAAGAGGAAAACAATTAAAATTAAATCAAAGCTGAACAGGTATGTATAAAAACCAGTGAACTCACCAACTCTTCAGACAGGGATTGGACTGGACTGTGGGACATAAAGTGATACTTGTGAAGAATGTGCCTCTTAGTCAAGTAGATACAAGAGACCAAAGGGGCGGCTTCTATCCGGAGGTGAGATGGGAAGGCAGAGAGAGTTAGGAGCTGGTTTAATGTTCATGGGGAATCAGGGGTGGAAGGGAAGGAGTGTGCTGTCGCAGAATGGGGTGAGCAGTTGGGGTCTCATAACAATGTATGTTAAAAAAAAAATTCTGTATGGGAGACTAACTTGAAACGTAAACTTCATTTAATTACAACAATTAAAAAAAAAAAAACCAGTGGACTCAATTTCTTATAATACCACCTTACATTTATTTAGCAATCAAAGGCAACATTGCCACAGGCATATAATATTTAATCCAAAGTATAGATGAATAAATTATCAGGAATTGTAATATATACTATCTGGTCCATTGTGAGAAAACGGTTTTAATAATAAAAATTTTGGTTCTCAAACCCTGTTCCTTTCAATCGTTTTGACTGCCAAGTCTATACAAATTTTGTGTCACAAAACTCTTCTTTATTTTTTACCATCTGCCTTTTCCTCTCCAAATAAAATGTTTCTGATTTTGAAATTTGCTCTTTGTTGAGTATCGAAAAGGGTAGGGATAACTTAACACACCAACTTTCACTTAAGTGAGCAAGTCTCTAAAAATGAACACCCATGTATAGTTTTCACTCAGACTCAGAAACAAACACATGAACCTATTTAACCACAGACATATACAACATGAACACCCTTTTTTGAAACCTGGGATCTCCTTGGGTTTAGTGAATCTTTCTTATATCTTTCTAGATGTCCTAAAGACAGTACAGCCCAAACACTATGCATTCCCTTCAAACTCTATGTTCTAACTTATAGTGCTTTCTTAAGTCCCTGCTCCAAAAACTGTCTTGCTGTGTGCAGTGGAGTTGATGCTGACTCATACAACCCTATAGCACAGAGTACAGCTGCCCCATAGGGTTTCCTAGGCTGCAATCTTTACGGGAGCAGATCTCCTGGTCTTTTCTTGCACTGTGACTGGCAGGTTCAAATCCATGACCTTTCTGTTAGCAGTCCAGCGTTTGACCATTGTGCCACCAAGTCTCCTTATCAAAAACTGCCTTACCCATTGCCCTCGACTCATAGTGACCCTATAGGATTCCGACTCATAACAACCCTATAGGACAGATGAAAACTGTCCCCTAGGGTTTCCAAAGCTGTAAATCTTTAGGGAAGCAGACTGCCACATCCTCCTCCCCTGGAACAACTGGTGGTTTCAAACTGCCCACCTTTCCATTATTAGCCGAGCGCACTTAACCACTGGGCCACCAGAGCTCTTCGAAAAACTGCTTTAGGAGTCCACAATTATCCCAGTGCCTGAACCTTGTCATAGCACAGTCAAGACCCAAGCCAGAACTTAGGCCTCACTTCTGAAGAACCACTGTGAGGCCAGTTCAGACAGAATTCACTATATGCTGGAGTCCCAGGGGTGATGGTAGCGCTATCTCCTGTGTCTGGTACTGAGCTGGGCACAAATATTTCCAAAACGAAGGCAGCTTAATCAAGGACAACAGGAACAATAAGAGAAAAACATTACTTAAAGGACTGCCCTCCCCATGCTGTGTTTATCAAGGCTACTCTTTAAAAAATAGTCCATCACTGCGAGGACCAGTGTCCTAGCGTTCAAACCTCATCTCTGGCCACAGTATACGCCTCTACCACCACTAAATGTTGGGTCAAAAAAGGAAAGATGATGAAAGCCCATAGAGGCCACCGTAGTGAATATTAGCCTCCAAGTGAAACGGAGATTGAGGAAGAAATCTCAACTCCCTCATTTCTGAGTGGTGGTACCAGAAGCTGAAAACCTGTGTCCTCCCAGGGCCAAGGAGGGTCGATGTACGTGGAATGGCTACGGGGACTCGAAAGAGACCAAGATCGAAGTCACTGGGATTCTTTTGAAATAGCATCTTTAGCCGTACAAGAGTGCCACGAGGGTGCCGATCCCTAAAATCATGCCAGTGGGCTACATATAAATACTGAACACTTCCAGATCAAAACACACAAGGGGGAAAAAAAAAAAAAGCTTTTTATTTTAAGTTTGCCCGACTCTGCTCGTGATGTCATTTTCTGCCTGTGACGTCAGGGGGAGGCGCCGTGCGGCAACATCACGCATAGGTGACGTCGCGGAGGTGGGGGACTGGGTTTCGGGGTTTCTCACCAGTGCCGGGTCCCCGCAGGGGCATCCCGGTTCTCTCCGTTCCTTTGGGAGTGTACGGGGAGTCAAGCCCGGCTATTTCTCAGAGTCTCAGCAATAAAAGCAGCACTGCAGCTACAGCTGCTCGTCTTCCCGCAAAATGGCGGCAGCTCCGCCGTCTTCCGGCACCTTTCCCAATCTGCGCATGCGCCGCATCACTTACTCGGCTGTGGAACCAATCTCATTGGTTTCTTGGCAACAGTCCAGAGTACAGCTTTCCATTGGCTAAAAGCCTAGGGGAGCCAACTTCAAATGTTTCTTAGCAACCATCAAGTTCCCATTGATTGGCTAACCTGTCAGAAATTCAACATCCTTCGTAGCCGCCCACCAGTCTCTCATTGGTTAAATGACACGCGGAAGGCCAAGGATACAGGAAACGATCCACTCCCCGTTCCAGGCGCTAGGGTTGACTAAGTCAATGCGATAGGTGGAGCCAACGAGAAGGTACTACAGATGTCAATGGCCGATCCTACAAGTTTGCTGAAGGGGTCATGTCGGTCTTCCCAAGACAACTTTGTGGAGTTAACTGCGTTTGTTTCACCACGGGAAGGATGCTAGACTCCACGTTCCCGCCCTTTGCGGGCTGTCTACCCCCCCCCCTTCCTCCAGCCTTCAATGCCTGGGACGTGTAGGTCTTGCTACAGATGTCTTCTTCCACAGCCAGCCTTATCATCATCGCCTGGTCCCACGGGTCACATACCTTCAGTTCATCAGTGCCCTATACACTTCCCACTGCAAGGGCAAACCTAAGAGTTTCTCTGGTGTCTCCTTTTTGAAGCAGCTCAGCCCTCTAACCAGAAAAAGAAGAACTGATGCCCACCCTCACATTCCAAGGGCTTCCAGAGGCCGTAGAGACTTCAGCTGCCTAACACAGCTGCCCAAAACATAGCTGGTTATTACATGGAGTGAGCCAGAGTCAGAGGACTTCTGTTCCAGTCCTGATCTGGAATACTAACATTATGCACTGTACCAATTTCAACTTCCTTCTCTGTAAAATGGAATTGGACTAGATAATCTCTTAGGACTTCTAACTCTAACCCTGTGATTTTAGTCAAATAGGTGGCTTATCACTGGAGACTTCCGGTTCCTCCCAAAAGGTAACAAAAGAACTGGCCGTGCAGCAGCTCAGGAAGGCAGAGGGAAGCTGACTTCCCTACCTCATTTTCCACCAAGGCTGCAAACTCTATGCCTCCCTACAGAAAAACCTAAGCAAGGGTCCTAATAGACAAGACCTCACTGTAGCTGGTCAGGAAGGCCTATATCCAGAAGTCCAAGAGTTGTCACTCTGCTTCTTAAACAGGGAATAAAGCTAGGCCCCTTTGGGTCTTGGACAACATAAGGGCACAGATCTAAATATGAGTGGGTCTAAGTGAGGTATGAGAAAGCAGTCAGCGGGCAGTGGGGTTGGAGCAGGAAAGGCCATAACTTCACTTTATTTGTATTTCCTCCAACACAAAACCATCAAAATAGGAACAGAGATGGGTAGGGAAAGGGCTGAAAATCTGTTCAATCCAAATGTTCTCAGAATTATTCCAGGGAGCTCTTGAGGCTGAGTGCTTCAGACTCAGCAATAATTCTTCAAGCCCTGGCCTGAAATCTTCACAGATTGGTAGCTTGGACCCTGCAATTAACTCTTATCCTTTGCCCACTTTGATGTAAGGCAGGAAAGCAGACTGAAATACTCCTCTCTGATGGGCAAAGGGACTCACAGCCCAATGATGTACAACACCTTCTGTGCTACAGGAGCAGAACCGGAAGCTGCTTCCAAGACTGTGGATATTTGCAGGCAGGGCTAGAGGCCGATGGTATACGAGCGGCCTGTAGGGTTGTGAATGGCAGAACACACTGGTGCCGTCACAGCCCACTCATACCACACCTTCTTGGAATTGCTGCATCGCCAGAAACGCACACAGATAGTCTGGCCTTCACGCACCGTAATGGGCTGCTGTAGGAAGAGAGACAAAGAGGTTCAGGGTGAGGCTAATGAATAATATGTGGCAATGTATTGAGCTCTGCATAAATATGAAAGACTATCCTAACACTCAAGAAGCTTATTTGAAGTCTATTAAAACACTGAACAATGAGACAGTGAACGAATAATCAAAAGTATGCTGAGTATTGTGAACATGTGCAGGGTGCTATGAAAAAGTACCTATGAAAGGGATTGGTAAAGCTTCATTGGTCTAGGAGCGCAGGGAAAGTTTATCTGATAATAGGAAGTGACCTGAAAGATAAGTTTAACGGGGTGAAGAGATGAGCAAAGAATTTTCCTGGCAGAGGAAAAAGATGTGAAAGCCTGAGGCAGGAAAAAAGACAGTATTCAAGGTCCACAGGGCTGAAGAAATATAATCAAGGAGAACAATAGCTGAAAAGGTACGCAAGAACTAGATTGTGCTGAGTCTTACACGCAATGTTCAGGATTTTTATCTTTATCCTAAGGGCAGTGGGAAGAAATTGAAGGATTTTAAGCAGAAGAGAGGTATGATCAGGTTTGAGTTTTTAAAAGAAAACTCTTGCTCAAAGTAGAGAATGGGCAGAAGATGAACCACAGTAGACGTGAGGAGGCCAGGTTGAAGGTCACTATAGATATCTAAACACCTACAACAGTGGTCCAAAAGCATGTGAGAGCAGGATAACGTGGGTCACAGCCAAGTGTCATCCTGGGAGAAGAGAAGGGATAGAACACCAGTGGCAAAAAGTTACTCCTTGTTAACATCCCTGAAAACCCAACCAAACCCGTTGCAGTCAAGTCAATTCTGACTCAGAGACCGTA